GGTGGCGCAACGGGTGGGGGGGGGGGGAAGTGAGAAGGGGCAGGCCTCCTCACGAGGCCGCGGGGCTTCTCAGAAGCCCTGCTGCCTCCCGGGGGACCGTCTGCGGCTTCGGAGGCGGCTCGGACCCGCCCGCCCCCTCTGCCTTCCCCGCTTTGGGCGCGCCGCCAGCTGCGCCCGCGTCCTCCCCCGCCCCCGCGCCGCCCCTCGCACCTCCGCCCGCCCGCCCCGGCTTCGCCCCCCCTCGGCCCCCTCCCCCCCCCCCCCCCCGTTCCCGCGCCTCCGTGCCCCACCCCCCCCCCCTCGCTCCACAATTAGACCATATGAATACTACTCTCCTCTCTCCCCTGGTGGGCGTCCCGGGATTGTTCGGCCCCCCTCTGCGTAGTGTTTTTTTTTTCACACCAGACTCCCACGAGTTGGGTTTTCGTTTTTTTGTTTTTGTTTGTCCTGGTGGGCGTCCCGGGATTGTTCGGCCCCCCTCTGCGTAGTGTTTTTTTTTTCACACCAGACTCCCACGAGTTGGGTTTTCGTTTTTTTGTTTTTGTTTGTTAAAACATGGTTTTTCAAAATGTTGCTCTCGCTAAAGCGCTGGCCTCATTTTCGGGCTACCGCTCGTTCCGAATCGTGCTCCCGCTGCAGCGCTGGCCTCATTTAAAGGCTTCCGCTTGTTCCGAATCATGTTCCCGCTGCAGCGGTGGCGTCATTATTTCCAGCGCCATGCCACGGCATGGTTTTCGGTCCTTCCAGATAGGCTCCAAAATCAACAAAAAGCCTTCCGAAGAAGCCGTCGGAAGTGATTCCACATTCGGTGTCGAATCGTTTTTGCTTTGGGCCGCAGAAGCCCCCCCAACTTTGGGGCGTCGCCTCGCCATGCTATGTCATGCTGCGCGTTAGTCTTCAGCACCATGCTATGCCATATAATGCCATGCCATGCTACGTCATCCGACTGTGCGAGCAGAGAGGAGATCTACGCCACGATAAGGGAATGGGAGGGAGGGGCAGGACGTCAGATATGACGCGAGCGCACCCAGCTTGTCCCTGCCCCTCTCCTCCCTCCGCCCCCCTCGTGCCCAGAGGGCCCCCCCGCCTAGAGCCTGTCCGCCAGGGCCGAGGAGGACGGCGGGGGTGGCGCCGAGGCGCGCGGCGCGTCTGCCGGGAGCCTCCGCGCCTCCGGGCGCGCTCGTACCGCCCGAGGAGGCGAGATTCACCCTGAGCGAGCTGTCGAAGACCCTGGCCATTGTCGCGAAGATGTCGGAGGCGCGGCTCCTCTCTCCAGTGCAGTATCAGGGGGGGGGCGTCGTTTGGGGATCGCTGCCCCTCCCCCCTTCCAGCCTCCCTCTCCCTCGTCCTCCCTCCGTCTCCCTCCTCCCTCCTCTCCTGCCGCCAGCCTCTTGGCATCAGACGACTGCGCTCAGCCTCATGTCCTCCCTCCTCCCTCCTCCTCCTCCTCCTCCTCCTCCTCCTCCTCCTCCTCCTCCTCCTCCTCCTCCTCCTCCTCCTCCTCCTCCTCCCCCTCCTCCTCCTCCTCCTCCTCCGCCGCCTCCCCCTCCTCCTCCTTCTTCCCCTCCTCTCTCTCTCCTCTTCCCTCCTCCCTCCTCCCTCCTCCCTCCTCCTCCTCCTCCCCCCTCCTCCTCCTCCTCCTCCTCCTCCTCCTCCTCCTCCCTCCTCCTCTTCCTCCCCTCCTCCTCCTCTCCTCCTCCTCCTTCTCTTCCCCTCCTCCTCCTCCTCCTCCTCCTCCTCCTTCCTCCCTCCTCCTCCTCCTCCTCCTCCTCCTCCTCCTCCTCCTCCTCCTCCTCCTCCCTCCTCCTCCTCCTCCTCCTCCCCACCCCTCCTCCTCCTCCTCCTCCTCCTCCTCCTCCTCCTCCTCCTCCTCCTCCTCCTCCTCCTCCTTCTCCTTCTCCTTTTCCCCCTCTCCCTCCCTGCCATCAGAGGAGGAAAAGGTACCCATGCCCCTCCCCTTCCCTCGTTTTCCCCTCTCTGGGCTTCCTGGGCCTCCGTAGTCGCCACCGCTGGATTCGCCTCGGAATCCTGGTCAGAACGCACCTCGGGAGAGGTCTGGGGAGTAGCGGTATCGGTACCTTTTTGGTCTCCCCCTCCCTCCCTCCCCCTACTTCATCCTCCCTCCTGGCCTCCCTCGCTCCCTCCCTCCCTCCCTCCCTCCCTCCCTCCCCACGTCAACTTCCCTCCTCCCGCCCTCGGAAGAGCTCTTGCCAGTGGCTGTCTTCCCTTGGGCAGGCCCCGCACGGCGAAAGGCACGCGGAACCCTGCTCGCAATCGGAAGGGTCGTAGCGGCATTCCGAAGGGATTCCCAAGAGGGTGTGTGAAGCGCTGCATCACGGATGTGCAGCGCGCTGTTGCAGAGCAGCCAGTAGTCGAGTAGCACAGTTCGGTTTGTCGTATGCAGGTGCGTCTCGGGCCATCCTTCCAGGTAATCCTGCCGGCGGGGTCCTCGCGTCGGGTAGCAACATTGCTGACGCTCTCGCGTCCGATGCCGCCCGAGGAGCCCTGGCAGCTCGCCGCTCTCGGACAGCGTGCGCCCGGCAGACCGCTGGGATGCCACGTATGCGTTCGGGTGCGCCAGCGGGCCGCCCGGGGGCCCCCGTGGATTCGCCTGCCTCCGCTCCCTGCTCCGCCGAGAGGCCCAAGAAGGGCCGATGTGAAACCACAGTACTCGAACGAAGGATTGCAAAAAAAACCAGGATTGCAAACAAACCTTCGATTGCAAAAAAACAGTTTTTTTTCAATCCCAGGTTTTTTTGCAATCCTTCGTTCAAGCCAGGGCGTCCTCGAGGGCGCGAAGTTATTCGCGCTTCGCGGGTCGGCTCGGATTCCTCCTCGTCCTCCTCTTCTCCCTTGGGAGGCGGCGCGAGAGCGCGAAGTTATTTGCGCTTCGCGCAGCGCGAAGCGCGAAGTTGGGAGCCCTTGAACACTCCAAGTTGCCCTCCTTCGGAGCTCGCGCTGTCCAATTAACGCTCGTCCTGTGTGGATATGTTCGCTTTGCTCGAGGATATGTCGCTCGTCTCGGGTGCTGGAGGCATGCTGGGACCCTTGCCCCTGCCATGCGGCAGGTGAGGACATTTTCGATCATGGGATTGTTCGGGACAGTGGGGTGGTCACGGTGGGGGAAGCACAACTTCTTTGCAGTCATCGTTTGCATTCTCGGCTTGTTTTCTCACTCTATTTCGGCTCGTGTTGACCCAATGCCCAATGCAAGTAATGAAAACGGGCACCCCCCGCTCAAGGAAGGGTCGTGAGAACTTCCAGCGCGTAAGGCGAGGTCTCTTTCCTGGCCGCAGTGGTCCACCAGCACCCGTCTTAGAGGCTGCCGCCAGCCGAGTGCGGCGCGAGCAAGCGCGGCGCATGGTGCTTGGCGCTTGGTACGTTGCGTAGTGCCCTTTGCCACGGACACTATGCCGCCCAGGACACTCCAGGACACTCCCTCATCCTACTCCCTCCTCCTCTCCATTCCTTGTCCTTTCGAAGAATTCTTCCCTGTCGCACTTCGAGGCCAGTCAGAAGGACGGACCGGGCGTTTCGCCTGAGACATCCTCACCATTTCTGATTTTGAAGCTCCAATGTTGACAACAGCTTCACGGATGGAGGGCGGGTGTTTTTCAACATGTGGTTATCGCCTTTGCACCGCGCGCCTTCGTCTTAGAATTTGCAAGAGTTTCACGGATAGGGAACGGGTTGTTTTCAAAATGTGGTTCTCGCTTTAGCGCTGCGCGCAGTCGTTCGAGAAATTCGCCAGAGGTTCACGGATTGAGGGCAGGCCGTTTTCAAGATGTGGCTCGCCTTCGCGCCGCGCGCATTCGCTTGAAGCAAGTGCAACAGCTTCACGGAGTATGGGCGGCTTTTTTTCAAAACGTGGCTATCACTAAGAATGTGCTGGAGCGATTCAGGAATATCAGGGCTCAACAATTGCGTTGATTCGCTGTGTTGTAGTCCCAGGAGTGGCATTCTGGCACGATTTGGAATCGTCAAGACGCAACACTCGAGTTGATTCGTGGCGTTGAAGTTTCGAGACTGGTGTTTTGGCACGCTTTAGGATCTTCCAACGGTTGTCTCTCAACGGGGGCACTTCCTGCGCGGAGATGAACCTTTGCAGGGGCCCATGACGAGGGAGATTGGAGGGTTCATTCTAACATCGTTGATGAGTCTTGGGTTTGCACTGGTCCTCCCTCCTCCTGCTTCTCTTCCTCCTCTCCTCCTGCCTCCTCTTCCTGCCCCCTCCTCCTGCTCCTCCTCCGAAGGTTCGGAGGCTGCCGGACTGCCCTGGCGCGTTGGCCGCCCGTGCTCCTCGACCGCGCCCCTCCCTCGCAGGACAGGAGCTGGCAGAAGAGGAGCTTCGGAGGTCCGCGCGGATCTCCTGGATGAGAATGTGGATCCGCCTTCCCTGCCCTCCTCCTTCCTGATGCGGTTGGCCCCCCCCTTCCCCCTCCTTCCTCGACGAAAGAACAGCATGTTTCATGAGCGTAAACATTCGGAGCTTCGCGGGAATCTCTCTGGTCGGCGTTGCCCCCCCCCCCCCCATGGTGGCGCCTCTGGCGCCGCCCATGGCGCGCTCCGCGCGCCAGGGATGGGCCGGGGTCTAGCGCCGATCCAAGAGATCCGCACGAACCTCCGAACTTTCTCTTGTGCCGACTGAGTATGCTCATTCTCGATTCAAACTGCAAGCTGTCGGTTCAGTCGGCGGTGCCATGCCACACGAGGTCAGTTGCCATCGAGATCATGCGTGCACCGTCCTTGCGAGTGCCTCCAAATGCGTGGGCTTGCCTTGCAGGCAACGGGGTGGCATGGCTTGGGCCGCCATGTTCAAACGTCTCTGGTCGCTTTCAGGTCACTCCGCGCCCCCGCAAGAGCGTGCATGTATGGCAGTCAGGTTCGCGTCGTGGTGACGCGGCGGCAAGCTCGGTACCAGTGCTCGAGGCTCAACGCCGACCCCGGCCCGAAGTCGTCCGTTGTCGTGCGATCCCTGTTATCACAGTTGAACGATCCACGCAGCGTCAGTAGCCAACGCTCGAGTCATGACGACACGGACCCGCCGCACTCGCACGGTTTCAGTATATCAGATTTCGTACTCTGTGCCCCGTCCTTGGGTGCTTGTGTGTTGCGCTCAGTGTTTGTCCGTGCCAGGTGCCCCTGCGTCTCGGTGCGCTTGCGGCGCACTGGATCAGCGCTGCGCGCCGCGTCCAGGCTTGATTGGGCCCACGGCGGAGTGGTTCTGCGGGTAGGATCATGTCGTCTCGTCGCAGCGGCGACCCCAGCGCGGGCGTTCCCTGTTGAACCCCGTTAGTGGCCCAGAGTCGGCCGACATCAAACTCTCTGCGCTATCGGAATGCCGCGATGGCTCACGGTGGAACGATCCTCTCGGCGTCAGAAACCAATGCGCCAGCCGTCACGACATTGATCTGCTGCACGTCCTTCCGCCGACCCGGTGCCGCGATGACGTGACGTAATTGGGCACAGGGCCGTCTTAGGTGCTTGCTGGGGCTCCTCAAGCCATCTTGGGGCCAGCGTGGGGCTTTCTGAGCAACTTTGGGGGATCATCTCTGGACCGCTTCGTAGAGTCTTAGAGCCGTCACGGAACGATCTGGGACAGCGATCAAAAACCCGCCGATGGTTCAGGCTTTTGTGGCATTGTGAGACTTGCGGATGTGCTCCGCGCCGAGGGTTTCGGGGCGATTCGAAACCCTTTGAGACGCGCGACTGCGTTCGGCGCCGAGGGCTTCGTGGCACTTTGAGACCATGTGAGACTCGCGGATGTGCTCGGCGCCGAAGGTTTCGGGGCACTTTGAAACCCTTTGAGGCTGTTCGAGACCGCTCGGAGACCGCCATCGGACGCGTCTTGTGGGTGAATGTGTACGAAATCTTGCAGAGTTTAAGATTCATCCGGCTCTCATTCTGTATAATACTAAATAAGGAGTCGGACAGTCTCAAGGCGGTTCGAGCGCGGACGGGGCCGTCGCCGAGCAGATGGGGCCGTTGCCCAGGCGCGGTCCAAGCGGTGCAGAATTTTAGTCAACCTTTTGGCCGACATCGGCTCGACGTGCGTGCAGCGCCGGATGTGACTGGTGTGAGGTGCCGTTGAGATGATGCGTACTCAAGAGCTTCCATAGGAACAGCGGAACATTTCGTATCTATGTTTTTCTCCGACAGCCCTATTCAGTCCGAGCAGAATGTTTGGGCATGGATCTCGCACTCGCGTGGGGGCCACGTTCGTCGCGACGTCGCCATTAGGGTTGCAGTGGTACAGA